GGCGTCGCCGAGGAGCGGGCGTCGCCGAGGAGCGGGCGTCGCCGAGGAGCGGGCGTCGCCGAGGAGCGGGCGTCGCCGGGGACGCGGGCGTCAGTTCCACGTGTTTGTTGGACGCGCGACGATTGTCGTACGTTGCCACGACGACGACGACGACGACGAGAACGCGATCACTTCAGGTAGACCATCTTGTGTATCTTGAGTATTCTTCCCAGTCGCTGCTTCGTTGTCGCCTGACCTTTCTTTGGCTTCTTCGCTGGAGGAAGATAACAATCGCCGGGAGGGTTAGTCGCGCCTGCGAATGTGTTAAGCTCGCTATGGGCAAACCTGTGTGTAAGGGTCAGCCAAAGCACTTCTTATAGACAGGTAGCTGTTATATAGAGGTGGTTTCACTATATACCTTCAATTCAAGGAAAAGTTAAACCCCAATGTCCTTTATAGGCAGGTGGCCTTTCTATAGAGGTTACCGCTTACGTGGGCACATGTTGCATTTTGGAATCTACTTCGAATGGATGCACAGAAATGCTAACTATGCCTTTACGATTCTAGCTTACTAATTCCCACATTTTCCTACACGCTAAAATACTAGATCTTTCTCGATAATTTATTAGGTGGCCGTGCCATCTGTGCGAGCCCTGATCTCGCATAATGTTAATTTTTAAAAATTGATTTAATTTCTATCAAGTTAGTTAACGACATATTTAATTTCTATGGCTAACTTACAGATTGGTTTTGTTGGACCTGAGGATTTCTCACTAGGTGGCGCTTCGACGGACGTTCCGGGGGTCACCAGCGGGTCGGGCGGCGGAGGCTTCGGCGCCATCTTGCGGCGCTGGTACATTCGCTTGGGCGGCTGGAAAGGGATGTTCGTATGTTTCATCGCACACATGATGCCAGCTTGTAACACAGGCATAGGAATGCTTTTATTTAAATATCATATAAATAATAGACCTCATACGTTAATACAGGCTTACAGGTAAATAAATGCACACAGGTGAATACAGGCCTACAGGTAAATACAAGTTAACAGGTGTGTACACATGATTACAGGTGAGTACACATGATTACAGGTGAGTACACANGATATTCAATCATTTCGTATGCAATCACATTAAGCTGCGTTTACACTATCGCATTTTTGTCAGGGGCCAAATCGTCGCGAGTCGTGCAATAAATAGAACACGTTCTATTTCTCCAAACTCCGGGCGACATTGACTCCGACTCGCAACCAATGCGAATTTCAGCCGATTAGTTGGAATTGCACTTGGCCGTCAAGTCGGGGGGCAAGTTGGAATGCAGCTTGAATCCCTCCTCCTACGATTTGCCTTACAAAAATCGATTAGTGTAAACGCAGCTTTACTTTATTTAACCAGATATGTTTGACTGGTGTGGAAACATATAATAGCACATATAAATATAAATAAATTATATGCATATATATGTATGGGCATATACATAGCATAATTATGCTTACATATATACATATAATTTATTTATATATATATATATTATATTATACTATATATATTATATATTAGCAAGCAAGATGGTGTAGGTAGTGCAGCTTAGCGTGGAGCAGTAAGGGTCACAGCATAAACACAATACTCGTTCATTCATCAGAGCAAGCATACGATTACTTACTAATTATAGAGTAGCCGAAGTGTGAAGCGTCCGCTGTCGCGGTCCGTTGGCAAGACAACGTACGGGCTATGGTTCTACACAAAGACCACTCGCTGCCAGTAACATTAACTGCCGCTGAAAATGTTGTGCGTACGTAAAAACACGAGGGTGTGTCGCTTGCAGACAGCGGTAAAGCATCCCGTACGCAACGTCGGATCTCTACAATATTCTTAATAAATTAAAAAAACAGTTTGTTAATTTATTTTATTCTTATTTTCGTTGGCTTTTCACTTCCATCCTTTTATGGAATCTATAAAAACTGCCGCAAATAATGACTCTCAGAATGATGCTTACAATAGGGTACAAACACAGACACGCAGTTAATGTTACCAGAGCATATGATTGTGTAGAACAGCCAGGCTCGTTGTCATGCCACCGTGGACAGTCATCCACTTTTGGATTCGCGGTACTCTATTACACTATTTACACACATAAATGCACTAACGACTCGCGACAAACAATTAACAGGAATGTTTAACGACCCCTGCCGCGTTCACTCACTCATCAGAGGCGGACTCGCTCCCATCGTCGCGATGCCTCAGCATCCCCTGCATTACGCATCCCTGCGTCGACGGCGCGGACGCCCCGTTGCCCTAGGCAAGCAGACGATACATACGATGTGTACAGCGGTTGCCTAGGGCAGCAGGTGGTGGAGCGGATACCGTGTGATGATATGGGTATCTCATGATCTTCGATATAAAGCATCATTAGCATCTATCCGCTCATATTTGTGATGCACAACCTGTGTACGCAGCTAATTTACATGACAATATAATTACTGTAGCACCAAATTATGCAATTAATTATACATTTTGTACTAAGCTCCTTGCATCATCGGCAGAATAAGTACGTGTGTGGAGAAACGGAAAAACGCTGTTCAAATCATCGTCATCACCACCACCATCATCATCATCATCAACATCATCATCATCATCGCCGCTGCTGCCATCATCATCACCATCATCATTGCCATCATCATCCTCATCATCATCATCACCACCACCACCACCACCACCACCACCACCCACTACTGCCCCAACCACCTCCACCACCATCATCATGCATGCCGCCGCTGCATGCCATCATCACTCACCATCATCATTGCCAATCATCATCCCATCATGTCATCATCACGCAGCAAGCCACCACTACTGCCCCCAACCACCTCCAGCCACCATCATCCTCATCACCAAAACCATCACCGATCACCATCTATCACACAGCATCATCTACATCATCATCATGCATCATTCATCATCGCCATCATCATCATGCATCATGCATTCTCCCCATCATCATCATCATCATCACTCAGCACTGTGACTCCGTGGCCTCGCCGTAAGCGCGCTCGCAGGCGAGCCGATGTCGGCAATGCTGGCGCCCCCTGGTGTGCCGAGGTGGCGGACCGTCGCGCGCCGACGTCAAACTCCTGGCTGCCGGAGAGACTCGGGTCGAGGGCGTCGTCGTCACGGCGACCCGTCGTCGTCGTCGTCGTGGCTTCAGGCTTCACCACAGCATCCGCCGCCGCTGATGAGGCGTCCTTACCTGCGCCGCCGTTCACCGAGTTCACTGCCGGGGTAAACAAATGCTGATTAAACAATAATGCATGCAGATAAAACAACGCGCATAGCAGGTCAACAATAACTATATGTGCATAACCAATGTATATTGTAAACATCAACATAGGCAGCGTGAACAACGTATACAGGCTTAAACAATAACATAGGCAGAGTAAACAACGGTATACCATAGGTAAGACACATAACATAGGCAGGTGAACAACGTATACAGGTAAACAATAACATTGGCAGGTGAACAATGTATACAGGTAAACAATAACATCAGAGCAGCTGTAAATCAAGCGTATACAGCTTATAACAATAACGAATTAGGCAGGTGAACAACGTATACAGGTAAACAATAACATTGGCAGGTGAACAACATATACAGGTAAACAATAACATAGGCAGGTGAACAATGTATACAGGTAAACAATAATATATACGGCAGGTAAAGCAAGCGCTAGGTAAACATACATGATAAACGGATAAGGAAACAATAACATAGGCAGGGTGCGAACAACTATACAGGCTAAACAATAACATTGGCAGGTGAACAACGTAACAGGTAAACAATAACATAGGCAGGTGAACAACTATAGGCAGGTAAACAATAACATAGGCCCGAGCTGAGAAGTAACAGCAATACATACGCGTGGAGAAGATACGCGAAACATAACATAGGGCAGGTAAACGAATGTATACAAGCGTAAAACAATAAATAGGCAGTGAACAATGTATACAGGTAAACAATAATATAGGCAAGTGAACAATGTATACAGGTAAACAATAACATAGGCAGGTGAACAACGTATACAGGTAAACAATAACATAGGCAGGTGAACAACGTATAGCAGGTAAAGCAATAAATAAGGCAAGTGAACAACGTATACAGCGTAAACCAATAACATAGGCAGGCTAAACAATAACATAGTTCATGTGAACAACGATATACAGATAAACAATAACATAGCAGCCTGTCAACAATGTATGACAGGTAAACGAAATTATAAAGCGAAATAGGCAGGCTGAAGCAACGCTATAGCAGGTATTACAATAATGTATGTGCATAAACAACGTATATAGGTAAACAACAACGTACGCAGGTGAGCAATAATGAACACAGGTAAACAAATATGTACACATGTATAGACAATATTACGTGGCAAACAGTAATTGTGCAAAGACAAACAAAATACAGATAATAATAAAATCTGTATACAGACAAACAATATCAGGTGTAATCAATAACATACCCAAGTAAACGATATCACGTATTAACAGTAAGCTTTTGTCTTTCTTTTTTTTTCTTTTTTTTTTTCTTTTTCCACAAGACAAACAAAGAATGTATAAGACAACAATAATCAGGTGTAGTCAATTACGGATGCACAGCCGCTAACAGTGGATTATCAGGTGCTAAACTAGAAGGGGCAGAGCTGTCGCCAACTACATGTATCCCCCGTTGATCTAGTTTATGGAATGCAAATAATGCTGCTGTAAGAACGTAGAAGTAGGTAAAGTTAAATAAGTCGCAGAAACGACAAAAGCGTCTTGCTTACACAACTCATCTGCCTGCAGATGTGCAAGTATGTTAAAAATTGGGTTGCCTTAGGGGTTTTGGTAGTAAGTATGTGATGTGTAAGTATAACAAGTTTGGTCGCGCTAGGTCAATTAGGGGCTGAGTTATAGAGCGGAAGGCAAATATGATCAAGGTCAAGGTAAAGGTCATATAAAGGTCGCAG